AGATCCAGTTACCTACCTCCCCTAATAATTGTAGGAAGACAGCCGTAGATTTACGATAAAATTAAGGACTTTGAATAAACTTTTAGAAATTGCCAAAATAAAGCTTTTTTTCCATTCACTAGAATTAATTCTTATTTATATTTACATAAGAGTTTTTAATTTAAATAAATAAAATGCAACTACCTTATACAAATTTCTTACTATGAACCGCAAAAATATTTCATATTTATTTAATGTTAAATTCTACTCTTGGAAAATTAAGTGTCGCGTGGAACATTTATCCTTTCATCCACTCTGCGAAACTAAAATATACCTGAACTTTATATGAGTAGTGAATAGGCTTCATCGCGGGCTTTACGCCGTTGCTCGCTTGCTCTACCCCTCTCGTTTTTGTTCTCCCTTATTATTTATATCTATTTGCATATCTATGGAGGCATCTATGTAAGCTTGCCATTTCACACCTAAACATATCCCTCCTGAAGAGATATTTCAGATACCTCTTTCCAAACCCTCCCGGACTCTTCCATAGGTATTGTTCATATCAAATTCCACTCTCTAGATTCTTCACTTTTCTATAGCTTCAACACTTCTAGGATCCAGTATCCAAAGAAGGATGCTGTAGATATGTTATCCTTGCAGGTTATCTCCCTATTTTATGTATTAACACAAACTTATAGAATTCTGTCGATAAAATAAATGTGCGTGGGCATATAAACGACGATGATGGAAGCAGTGGTATTTACGCTAGCGAGGCTGCTAGCAAGAGCTCGTATAGTGTATATGATGAGGGTGAAATGCGTAGCGATGAGGAAAGTGAGTCTGAAAGGGATAATTCTTCCGAGGAGGGTGAAATTCAATCAGAGGTTGATGAGGTGGTTTTCTAGTTATAATTGTTACTTTATCCGCTTCAGCCAATTGGAGAAGAGCCAATTTCACCTAAAGTTGAAACTGCCTGGGAGCGAGGTCTTCGCCTTGCTCGCGAGGTAATTTTTTGTTCTAGTCGTTAAATCGTAGCCTATAGTTAATATTTCCTGCTTTACTCTTAGGACAATTTTGAATGAGTTTGTGCATTTATACTATTTTCAGCGTTTGAAAAAAGCGAAAGAGCTTAGAGCTAAAGAGAAGAATCTTGAAGAGAAACGCTTAACTTTGGGGATTCCAGTTGATCCACAGGAGCCTGTCGACGTCGCACCAAAGCCTGTGTACGACCTATTGTAGGTTCTAATTTTAGATCTAATCCCATGTATATTTAAAATTATCACTAGTGTGACATTTTGACCTAAACACATCCATTTTGAATTTAGCTGGGCGGATTATTACCAATTAGGCCTCATCGGTCTCACTGAAATCACGTGCCAAAGAATACTCCCGTTTGATATCGCCCCTCCAAAGGCATATGAAGTAGCTCTTTGGCTTAAATCAACTAAGCGCAAGAGTCATAGAGTCAGCTCGGCATCTCGAGTCCGTGGTCGGAATGCAAAACGTTCTTCAAGAGCAAATTCTGCCGCTTCGAGTGCTTCAAAATCATATTCTTCACCTGGGTCGTCATGTTCCGATTCACTCACTCGCTCCTCTAGCCTTGATGGTAATTTTTTAAATTTGAACTGGGTCAAAGTCAGCACTTTGTATTATTTGGTTCACTCACATTATTTACTTTATCTC